TTCATTCTTTATCTCCTTCCCCTCTTTCGCCCTCGCAGGGTTGCCCATTACTGTCCCTCCCCCTGGTTTTCCTCCTCCACCTAGTGGGCCCCCACCTGCAATCATCCCCACTATGGACAGGTAACACACCTACACACAAGAACGCTAGAGCTATAACTACAGATTAATTTAAAATTCAACATAACTACATGAAATATTAGTGAAGATAATGTGATTTTTAAAATGGTATCAGCAATTTCTGACTTGGATTGTATAGTGTACAACCAAAGTTAAATTTAAACAAACTTTCCCATGTGAAATATTATTTTTAAGAGTGTCCTATAGACTCACTACAAGTTTTTCTTCCTTAATACTACGTTGTAAATGGTTATTTCCTCATTAAAAAGCACACAGGTCTCACCCAAGAGGTTAAAGTTCTGTTTATCTTCTTTACATAATTGCATATAGAAAAATAATCCCTACAAACCTAAAATTAATGTGTAAACAGAAACACACACTCCCATGTACAGCAGCAACATGTTGTCTTTCCTCTGTTTCTACAGTGGCCACCCTGGAGGTTATGATGGACGCCCTGTTCCTCCGTATCCGTTCCCTCAAGGTGAAAATCTCTTTTATTTGAATTTTCTAACCCCAGCAACACAACAAATGCCACAGCTTGATTTTATTCCATTAACATCACATGAGATGCAACATGAGAGATCTGTTTTGACATGTTTGGGAAATATACACAAAACATTATTCACATACAGTGGAAACCACTGATAGTGATCACGGACATAGTAATCTAAAAGCTTGGATCAAAAAGCTCATTCCGATACAAATGTTTGAAAAATTTGGTTACAATGACCAGGAAGTCTGCTTACATTCATTTTGGGTCTTTTCATACATGTTGGACTGTAAAAAAGTATTTTTAACAGGCAAGTGTACAATGTTACCTTTCCCTCAAGTTCCAGGACTATCATACAGAAGCTAGGTAATACGTTTATAGTAATCAACTGCTAGTGATCATCTGGCCCAGGACCTGTTCACTATGAGCAGTGCTCACTGTATTTGGGTTCAGTGTTTCAAAAGAATAAACATGCATATCAGTGACAACCATGTCCCGTCTCTTTGGCTCTTCAGGTGCTTACCCTCCACCCATGGCTGGAGGTGTGCCTCCTCCATGGCCCCCAATGATGGACAACTCGAAACCCTGGGATTATTATCCCCGCCGAGACGACAAGAGAGAGAAGGACAGGGAGAGGCCCAGGGAGAGGACGCATGAGCGGGAGAGAGAAAGGGAGCACAGTCCTTCAGCTATGAGCTACACTAGGTGAGACAAACATGCACAAAGACATACTGGATATACTCACTATGCTGGAGTGTGAGTTTCGTCTATTAGTTGCATTAATTCAGTCACAACATGCTGCCAACTGGGTTTTTACTGCCATAGACCTGACCTCACGTTACATGACATAAATATAATGACAGTAAGTTTCACCCTGTGAAGTATATTATATAATTTTACATTGTTGAGTTGAGGAATTGGAATTTGTCAGTGAAAAGTTTCATTGGAGCATCCTTGTTTAGTTTTTTGTCTTTAGCATTTTAAGCTTTGATGACTAGTGTTTGTTATAACTCATTGCTCACTGCACTTATCACAAATGAACCAATTCAATTTCACTGAAGAGAAAATTTCAAGCACTCTTACACTGAAGTCTGGATTTATTCTCCTGCTGCGTTCCTGTCTGAAAACAGCTGTACTCACAGACACAGAAAGATAAAATATCTCTTGATTTTCTGTCACATTCAACCATGTGAATGCGATTCTTTGCTATACATGCAATAACAATTGATTAACGTAAAAGCTCTTGTTCTTTCAAATTCCACAGCGACGATGAGCGTTATCGTTACCGTGAATACCAGGAGCGTGGTTACGGAGAGCGCCATCGTGACCGGACGAGTCGAGAGAAAGAGGAAAGACACAGAGAGAGGCGGCACCGAGAAAAAGAGGAGGGACGCCACAAGTCCTCTCGCAGGTAAATGATGACTCAAATTCTCTCTTGGATCAACTGATTGTTTGTTAAACCACTACACGGAATAATGGAAACCATATAAAGAAGGGGTCAGTCGACAAACTTTATATTTCTGTAACCGTACACCAAAATGTTTTCTGTCTTTCTTTTGTCTCTTTTCACTTTGTCCCAACCTTTGTGTCCTACCAAACACCTGTTCCTTTTGTTACTGGAACCACACTGTCTGTGTTATTATCCTTTCCTTTGGGCCCCTTCTCCATTGCTCTTCACCTTTTATTTTTTCTTCACCCATTGATTTTCTTGCCCTTCCCTCCTCACCTCATCTGCATATCTCACTCTCTCGTCCTCTTTCCGTTAGCAGCAGCAGCAGGAGGAGGCACGACAGCGAGGAGGGCGACAGCCACCGGAGGCACAAACACAAGAAGAGCAAGAGAAGCAAGGAGGGCAAAGAGGCCAGCGAGGAAATCAGTGCAGACCAAGAAAACCAGGAGGCCATGGAGTAGTGATTGCATCTACACGTCGTTACTCTCTCTCTCTTTGTCTGCCTCCATTCCCGTCTGTTCATCCATTCCCCCACCATGATGAGAGAGAAGGAAAGCGAGAAGACGAGGGCAGACCAACAAAACCAGAAAGTTGCCTAGTGATCGATGTGTCCTGTCACTCCCCTCTCCATCAGTCTCCATCCTCCCCTGCTGTCGTTCATCCTCACCATCACTTCAGAGAATTGATGAACCTTGGGGAGGTGGTGAGGGAGGGATGTTTGTCCTCTTATTTCATCTATCTCTCCATCTTTAACTGACATCAGTCTTCACCCACCACCTTTCTCCCCCAGATCTTTTCTCCGAGCACCGCTGTAACAACTGTCCTGCTCAGAGATTTTACTGTGTAGTCAGGACGATCAGCTGAATTTTCTCTTTTCCTGTCATTTGGTTTGTTTGTTGTCCTTTTGTTCTTGTATAAACACCTGACACCTGTAGAGAGCTGTCAGTCTAAGTTCAAGTAAAAAACCTTTTTGATAAGTCGGCTTTTTGTGGCTTTTTTGGAATAAATACATCAATAATTCTTTACTTTCCCAGTAATTGTTAATATTAATCTTTAACAGGTATTAAGCAAATGTAGTCTACTCATTATGCATTGGTGAAATATCTTAATATCATTCTCTACTCAAATATGAGTTTACAACCCCGACTCAGAAAAAGCTGGAACAGTTTGCAAAATACAAATAAAAAACGACAGCAGTGATTTCTAAAATAAATTTGACTTGTATTTCATTGCAGACAGTATGAACATAGTTTATTTTGTGTTTTGTCTGCTCAACTTCATTATATTTGCAAATATACATCCATTCCTGCCATTCAGGCCTGGAACACATTCCAAATAAAGTTTGGGCCATGTAGGGCTAGTAATGAGGTAGAATGATTAAAAGATGAATCTGAAATAGGTGATGTCAACAGAAGATTGTAATCATGATTTGGTACAAAAGTAGTATCCAGGAAAGGCCTTTAGGAGCAAAGATGGGCCGAGGATAGCCAGTTTGCCAACAAATGTGAAAATATTATTGAAATGTTTAAAAAAAGTGTTCGTCAAATAAACATAGGGAGGGATTTGGATATTTCATCCTCTACAGTGCATAACATTAAAAGATTCAAGGAATCTAGAGGAATTTCAGTGTGTAAAGTGGAAGGGTGCAAGCCTAATTTGACTAACTGCTCTCTGATCCTTTAGACGACACTGCATCAAGAACCCTCATTCATCCATAAGTGATATAACCACATGATTCAGGATTTTCTTGGCAAACGTTTGTCAAGCACTACAATACGTAGTTACAGCCACAAATGCCAGTTAAAACTTTACTTACTCGAAGGCATCTGGGATAAACCAAAACACAGTGGAAACGTGTATTGTGGTCAGATGAGTCAGTATTTCAGGTTGTATTTTTTGAAGAAATGGACGTTGTGTTCTCTGGACTAACGAAAAGGACCACCCAGACTGTTATCAGCAAAAAGTCCAAAAGTCAGGGTCTATCACGGAATGTGGTTTTGTCATTGCTCTTCGCAAAGGTAACTTACACGTCTGTGATGGCACAATCAATGCCGAAAAGTACACAGAGATTTTGGAGCAGCATATGTTGCCTTCAAGACATCTTTTCCAGGTACATTGCAACAAGACATTGCAAAACCACATTCTGCACACATTACAAAGGCATGGAGGAGAGGATGGGGGGTGGGGGTGCTGGATTGGCCTGCGTGCAGTCCCGACTTGTCCACAAGAGATTGTATGGCGCATTTTGAAATGCAAAATTCCCAGTACTGTAGCACAACTTAAAGACTTGTTTGCAGAAAGGATGGGACAAAATGACACCTGAAATGCTTCATCACTGTGTCTCTTCAGTCCCTAAATGTCTTTTGTGTTGTGAAAAGTAATGGCAACATTACAATGTGGTGAAAGTTTTACTGTCCCAACTCTCTTTGAAATATGTTGCAAGAATCAAAACTGAAATAAGTGAATTTTGAAAAAAACTATCAAATTTAGAAAAGTTTAGTGTTTTAGGTAGATTTTCCACCACTTCACATGGAATCTTTGTCCAGTACACGTGCACATGTTTACGCAACGTTTGTGTATTTTCAATGTGTTCTTAAATGGTCACATTTATCTATGAGGATCAACATGCAGAGCACAGTTATCAGCAGGAGAGGACAAAGCTCAAGAAAACTTCTAAATAATGTTTGATTTGAAAATACTGCAAACAGAAAAGCTTCCTTCCCTTGGCTGCAACCTATTGAAGTAATAATATATAATTTTATGTCTTATTTAGTGTGTTTCAACTTTTATGTCCTTTCTATCAAGTGATCATCTTATGAAATGTGATATATTGTTATAGATTAAAATACAGTTTAAAGCATAGAGCAGCCACAAATACTTTGAGTTGCACGATTAAAATGCCCCCCCCCCTCCCCGCGCTGCTGTTTGCTCTGGTTACATGAGCTCAGAGAGATCAATAGAGGCAGTGGATGTAGACATTTACCTGGAGACAACATAAAAAGGGCCTCAGCACACAGGAGCCGCAGAAGATTCTCCTGAGGAGAAGTGAGTAGAGCCATCTAGAGGATGAAGTGTGTTGTTGTGTTGCTGAGTCTCCTCTCAGTGGGATGCTCCGCTCCTGTGAGTTCCTGCGAAAGTCTGACTGAACCAATCACCATCAGCAAAGAGGAGGTAAGTGTTCAACTCTGCATTTTATATATTTCATTTCAGTCCACTCAGAATAAGAAGTCACGACTGTTTATTTAAGAAGTAAGCAAACTAGTTTTAAAGATCCAATGTGTAGCATTCATTAGCAGAAACAGAATTTAGTTTTTATAATTATCTTTTCATTAGTAAAAAAACAACCTTCATATCAAGGAGTGGATCCTCTTCCATGTTGAAACACCAAACAAACAAATAAGATTAAAAAAGTGTTCTCACCAGCCCTACCTTTAAATGTAGGTGTTAACATGGAAGAATGTGAATGTGATGTGAACCCAGTAATGTTTTAAATGACCCTTTCACAATGACTCCACACCAGGTCAGGTTGAGAAACACTAATACATATTACGTGCTCGGTCCGTGTGCTCCAGATGTTGGGTAGATGGCTGTACATCGGGGGAAGCACTAACTTCCCAGGAAGCCGCTCGCTGGGCCACCTGCTGACCAATGTCTGGTTGAATATCTCTGAGACTTCCGAGAGCAACATCCTGAAACTCATCCAGACTCAGAGAATGTAATGTAGAAGCCATTTTCAGCCATGAACTGGAAAATGTCTGAACCCAATATTTCGACCATTATCACACAAAGTTCTTGAATCTCGTTGTCTTTCCAGGTTGACATCCTCTATAAGCATGGCAACTCTTTTTCATATGTTAGAAAAATCATCAACTGTGAATTCTCCACACATTTTTTGTATCTTCACATGGACTTTCTGGACATTTAGAGTAGAGTAGACTCTTGTGGTATTAACTTCTGATGTAGCTTTTCTTTTCTTCCTCACAGATTCAATGAATGTTCGAGCTTAATGTACAACGTGACCTTTGAGAACAGCACGATGTTAGTAGGTAAGTGATGAGCAGCCATCATGTGAGTAAGATCCTAAAACCTGCATTAAAATCCATTCAATTGCTTGTGTGTGTGTGTTTTTACAGAGCAACCTTTCCACCTGAAGGAAGTCTATCTGCCAACTGACTGCTCAGACTGTCTGGTCGTCCATGAAGAAGTTATCGCTGACGAAGACAAGTTTACCAGTCTTCTGCTTTTCAGTAAGAAATACTGATTCATTGACTCCAAAATTCTGAATGAACTCTTTCTGTACACAGTAAAGGGAATAAATAGTTTTCTGATGAAATCATTCTAAACCAGGCAGCTATTATTTGGGAACTGAACAGTTTTTGTAAGACATACAAATAAAAAACGTCTTTATTTTCCAGGCAGGGGACAGAACGTCTCTGCCGACACTCGGGAGATGCTCATAAGACAAGCAAAATGTCTCAACATTCAGTCGCCCATAATGCTAAAACCAAACAACGGTGAGAGTTTTTATCGTAATTTTTTGTCTCTACCTGTTGAGCCTCCATAATATGACTCAGAGGTGATGTTTGCTTTGTGACTTATTATTGTTTTAATGTGCACATGTACAGAAATCTGTCCAGACAACACTCCGTCTTTAGGGGGACTCCGCACCCTTAACCCCTTGTTTGAGGCCAAGAGGGGACATCAAGTCTTGAGATTTCTGGACACTTTTTTTGATTTGTTTGTGAACGATGATGATGATTGATTTGTGTCACAAGTCATTTTGAATGAGTAAACATAAATT